AAACCAGCAAAGCAGACTATGTGCGCCGGAAAAAAGGAGGGCGGAGACTTGCAGAAATTACAAGGTCATTAAATACCTTCAGGGAAGCGCAGTCACTTTTATCTTGTAACTACAGGACAAGTTAAAAATTCTGAGTTTACAGGGAGCTACCCGGAAGGGCAGGGGTCTCCGGGGGCAAAACCTCCTTCCTCAGGCAGGGCATGAAGACCGGGTAGTAGCTCGGGTGGAACACCGGCACCTTCCTCCGGCCTTCACCACATTCAGGAATTCACACTTCCCCAGAGGGATCCTGCCTCATGCGAGTGCTGGCAGAACAGAGTCTGAGCGTGCAAACTGGCGTTGTTTCAAAATCAACAAGAAAGCTGTTCCCTTCCGCAGGGAAAGGGGGTCCCCTGCTCTTAGCCTCCAAGCTGAAGCTTTTGTTTGTGACATCCAGTATTTTATCTATTTGGCTTTATAGCGAGAGGTACACGTTCCTGCGGGCTGCAGAAGCAGTGGAAGCGATTTCTACGTTGGTCCCTCTTTTGTGAGCCCGGGGCACGTGGGAGCCGCAGGCAGGGTTAGCCTGAAGTGGCCTCCAGGACGGTGTGCGCGTTCACACGGGGGGGCGGGGGGGACAGGAGAGGACCTCTGAGGCCCTTGCGTGCGGTGTGGCAGGGTCCCTGGACACTTCACTCAGTTCACCCCAGGCAGGCTCCCTGGACACTTCACTCAGTTCACCCCAGCCTTGCAACAACCTCAGACGTGAATACGAGTATCTTTCCATTTTACAGATAAGGAAACGGGAGGCGAGAGTGGTTAAGTAAGGCCGGACAGCTAGTAAGGGCACCCACTCAAGCACTCACTACACCCTGCTGGGAGAGAGAAACCCGGGAATGTGTCAGTGTAGAGTTCTCCACGAGGACCGTCATTTGTTTTACATTATATCTGAAACAGCGAGGAGAGGTGTTTTCAGAAGGGCTGGACCATAGATCTACCAGATGACAACAGTGTTCCTCCAAAAAGCTTACTGTGTTCAGATAGTTCTGGGAATCACTAGATGAACTACGAGTACAGTTTCTTCCCTGCAGGACTCCTCAAAACCTTTAGCTGCTAACATACACTGAATCCCCAAGTAAGGTGCTGGGGTAAAAGCACTTCCAAGCTGATTCAGCCGTGGAACCCTGAGGAACTCTGTTGGGGAATCAGTGAGTTAGGAGGTCTGACAGAAAACCTATAGGTCGTTGATTAAAAAAAAACAAAAAAAAAGATAGCAAGCAAGAACTCTACCTGGATTAAGACGATGAAATTTTGAAATGTTAATTATTTTATAAGTATACATATGAAAAATTTATAAAATCAAAGCAACACATTAGCATTCACTCGATACCCCAAATGTATAATAAACGACCTATTCTTCTAAGTGTCAAATATAAACCTTCTTAATGTAACTATTTTTAACACTGCTCTTGAGGAAATAATTGAAATTGTGTTCCCACAGTAATGCTCCTGAGGTACATGAAACAGAATCTACGTATGGAACCATAGGGATGGGAGAGGTTTGTCATTTAGTGTCATTTAGTTCTGATCCAAGAGCTCACCAGCCCCGGCCATTGAGTGAGGCTTCTTTACGTCCTTTTAGAGAATGGTTTAAATTGCCTTGCCTTGGGGAGGGGGCTGTGGAATGCAATGAAGTGGATCATTTCGGTATAAATTCCATTTCGCTACCAATAACAAAGAGACAACTTACCTTCCCAGTATTTCCAGTAATTCTGCTATGCCATTGTGATGCTCTGTTTCATAAATAAATCTAGAGAAAGCAATTTGTCATTTAGAATTAGACATTGAAGTAACGGCTGGAAAAGACTAAAATCCTCTGAATAAGAAAACAATGCTTTTAGGAAGAAAACCACGTAGCCAGGCAACAATAAGCAAATCTAAAACCGTTCTGGGGGCACTGCTAAGTGTTACCAGAGAGACTCCTCAAAGCCTGGACATGCAGACACTTGGAGGGCAGAGAGCATGGGCTTGCTCAAATTTCTCCCTAACGTTTCATTTTGAAAGTTTCAAACATAAAGTGAAAAGGTGTTTACAGTGATCACCTGTATTTCAACCACCCAGATTTGACAGCGAACAACTTGCTGTTTGCTTTATCACACACACATCTCTCTATCCATTCCTTAATCCATTTTTATCTTCTGCTGCATTTCAACCTAAGTTGACATCTTACTCAATTTTAAAGCCTCCAATATTTAGCACAGTCTCTGCAAAGGGTACAAGTTACTTCCTCACCACTGGGGTCGTCTCCCCTACCTCCTCACTGACACCTCACACTCTCCCTATGCTGCTTCAAGTGCCATCTTCTGAAACCCCCATCTGAGTAGCCCGACTCACCTGCCCCAAGAAAGCACTCCCTCGGGGCCCCCGCGCATGCTCCCTGGGGCTCCCAGCAGCTCCTGCACCCTGTGCCAGACTGAGGATGGGGACAACGACTTATCATTACCGCGTCGCCCCTGGTGCTATAGGGCCGAGCCTGGCATCTGACCGGTGCTTGAAACACGACTGCCGAATAAACTGGGCCCAGGGAGAGGGAACAGGGATAGGAAACAGGAAAGTATCTTCTCTCTCCAAGGATTCCTCAGAAACAACCTGCTCCTGCCCCGCAGCCTGGCTCACCTGGAGTCAGGCTAAAACCAACACACACAGCGAATTCTGCCTGAAGCGAGAGGTGTCTGCGGTCTGAAAAAGGTTCCTGCCTATCAGACAAAAACTACTAGTTTAGAGCCAGCTCTAGGCCAAAAATAAGTGTTTGTGATGATTAAAATTTTTCATCGTCCCTGTTTGAAACAAACGGAAGAGTGACCTTAAGGTCCAGAACAGGTCAAATGCCCACAAAGTGTGACGTACTCCTGAGGAGCGGGTCTAACGTCTCTAGGTTTTTGACAGATCTTTCAAAGGGGGGGCGTGGAATGAGGAGAGAGCCCGTTTGGCTAGAACAAAGGTGGGCGACGGGCGGGCAAGGCAGGCACACGGAGGCTCGGACACCAGCTTAGACAGATCGGAGTTGAGACCACAGGGACCGGGGTCAGAACCACTGAGCAGCAAAACACAGTGACACGGAAACAAATGTGGCCACAGCACGGAGCCGAGGCGGGAAAGGACCCGTGATGGACCCCGGCAGCCCGGCTGGTCAGATCAAGGGCAGCAGGGGACAGGCTGTGCTGCGTGTGGGGCACCCGTGTCAGCCTCAGACACGTCGGCCCCGCCACTGCCCCTGCCCGGAGGTGGGAAGCCGGCCTCATGGGAGCCCCAGCCTCCCTGGGCATCTACCCGGGGAGGTGCTTTAGTTTGTCTGTGAAACTCCACCTGAGGCTCCCTGCACTTCACCTGTTTTATTTGAAATACTTAAAACAGTTTAGATGCACAAAGTAACAGTGCAACCACCCAACTTCAGCCCCTCTTCCTCTTGTTTACACCCGGAGGGCTGTGCAGGCAGCAGGTGGGCGAGGCTCCTGAAGCCTGGGTGCTCGGCTCCGGATTCTGGCATGTGGAGGTGGCCGAGCCCCTGGGCACCACTTGTGATCTGTCTCCAGCAGTACTAACGTTTAAATAAGGGCAGCTTTTAGCCAAAAGCCATTTTTTTCCCCCCTAGATCAACATTGCTATATTCTCATCGGTAAATTCTTCATTCCTGATTATTTTGTAGATTTGGAGTAGGTACAGGAAAGAGAACGTAAGTGTAGTTCCCCTTCTTTCTTTTCCAGAGGGAAACAAGAAAGTGGGGTGCAAAACAGGAAGGAAGCCCTAAGGACCCATGCAGAGCAGGCTACAGTGTGTCTCCCTCTTTCAGCCAAAAGGAACTAGGACTCTCCCAAAACTGAGCTGGAACCTGCCTGTGAAGGACAGTCTCCAAAATGGACGCCATCTATTCCTCTCCCTCCTGGAGGACGTGTTCTGTGCCTCACACGCAGAGGTGGAAGTCACTCCCCCTTGAAGCTAGGCTGTCCTCAATTCCCTGAGTGGCTCTGATCGGTACAAAGGGATGTGAGGCCGGTGCGCACCAGGCCCCGGCCAAGCCCTGAGGAGCACAGGCAGCCACTGCAGAACTCGGCCCCAGGGCCGCCCATTCCATTCACGTTCACGGAGCCCCGCCCGGGCAGGTCACAGAATGAGAGCAATGGCAAACAGCTGATTTAAGCCCCCAAGCCGCGGGGGTTTGTGCGGCAGCAGAGAGAACTGAAGCCCGGGCTCCACCTGCCACCCAACCTTCAGGCTCCACTGTTTGCCAAGCAGGCATGATCCCTCACCCAGAGCTGCGTTTAACTCACCTGTGAAGATGCTGACTAGAGTGAGAACCCACAGAAGTAAGTAGGAACCTCACACTAAGACTTTCAGGAAGGTCAACCAAACACGCCTGAAATACTGTCTAACCAGCCGTAGCAGCACCCCGTGGAACGCAGAGGAGCGGAATATAGCTCTCGAGATCATCTGCAATTGTTTCTCACATGGAATGAGGAGGGGGTGGTGCTGAAGGTGGAGAGCCAGGCCGGCTGTGGGATCCACAGGACCTGCTTCCTCCTGATTGGACGCATCAGGAACGGTTTTTACAGAAAAGACTTCTGAAAACAAAACGAGGACACCACACACTCCAGCACTGAGAGCTCCGCGAGAGCCGAGCTGCACCCTGTGACTTCTGAACAACAGCCTAGTTAGGGAGCTCAGTTACTAAGTCAGGGTTCCTTAAGGTATGAGGCATTCTCTACGTCCTTCACGCAGGCGCTGACTGGTGATTCTGCACAGAACCTATGTGAGCAGGGAAGAAACCTTCAGGCAGAGCTTCCATTTTAGCCTAAAAGACTGGAACTGAAATCCTACCTGTCCGCTGTTGATTAAATAGTGTGTGCCACGTTTTGATAGGTAAGTACGTCGGCCAAGGAACGGTCTTGTTAAAAAGGAAACACGACACCAAGAAATACAAAATAGAAATATAACATTTAGGAAACACGATGCCACCACCTAAGCCGGTGTGTCCAGCCTGGGCTCCATCATATAAACGGGCTGTGGGGAGCTTGGAGGGAGTTTGAAGGGAAGCCACGTGCAAGCTGGAGGTTCCGACACCCAAAGGCCACATCACGTGCGAAGATAAGGAGGGCGCTGGACCTCGCGACCGCAGGCGGGCAGGGGGAGGGACAGCAGGGGCCGCCCGCCACCGCCAGGACTCATCACTGCCTGCGGCATCCTGGAGTGAGGGGCACGTGGGATAAGCTGCCCCCTAAAAACTCATGGAGTCAACTGCTTGTGCAGTGAGCGTTCCAGGGACAGAGAAGAAACCACGCTGACGGTTTCATCCATCAACGTTCACATGGAGCCCCCAGGAGCCAGGTAGGAAGCTGGGGCTGGGGCTGTGAGATAAACGTTGGCTCGATGCCTGCCCTCCCAGGAGGCCGGACCATCCGCCAAGCTGCGAGCCTCCCTGGCGCAGGGGTGTCTCCGGAAGCCTGGGAGGGTGTGGAGAAGGGCTGGTGGAAGGGAACGTGAGAACGCTCCAGGAGGATCAAGCGAGGCTGCGAGGCCCTGGTGTGGAAGGAGCCCGGAGCCTGAGGGACACCCGAGGGCTCGCCCAGGACCTACACCCGCTCGTCCAAGGAGCGCGTCGGCATGGGAGTCGGCGGATGGAGGGGCATTAAGACGCTGCGACTCAGAGGGGTGGCGACAGGGAGGCTGTGTGAGGGATCACGGGGTCAGGCTGAACACTGAGCTGGACTGACAGAACATTCCTCCAGGAGCCCTGGGGCGGGGCCCTCCCCACTAAAACAGAGCCAGGCCTCTGTGGTCCTGCAGGCCTGGGGAGGCTGCGACCGCTGAACACCGCGCTGCCTCAGCCACTGCTTCCAGCAGTGCACGGCGGGAGTCTCCAAAGATTCCCCACTTCACTCCTCACTCCTTCCTTCTTTCACTGAGGCTCAGCAGGGACGAACGAGCACCACACAGGTGCGAGGAAACCGCCGGCTCTGGATGGAGCGATTCACCCACATCCAGAAGGAACCACGTTCAGGGTGACCGGGCCCGCCAGTAAAAGCTGGAACAGACACCGGGAAGGAGGGGAGCAGGCACAGAGCGAAGGCGGCCCTGCCCAGCGCAGAGGCAGACGTGTAGATGGGGCCCACGTGCCCACGAGGAGCCCGCTGCTCGGAAACAGCCACTCCTGCTGCCCAGCCACTTTGCTACAGCCAATGACGAGGTGGGGCATCGAGTGTGAACAGGAGCGTCACATGCAAAAGGGAAGTGTCACCCCCACACTGACTTACCTATAAAATATATTATTTATCTGTTTTCTGATGTAAGCTCTTAAGCCTAAGAATTTTCCATAGATTCGGTGAAGGGTAGTTTTAAGAAAATCTCTCTCGCGAGGATCTTCACTGTCAAAGAGCTCTAAAAGCTTCAAGAAGAAAAAGACACTCAGTGAGGCGGTATGCTCTCTAATGGTAGATTAGAGCGTTTGTAGTTTCAGCTAACGTGTACCTTACCTGCAATACAAACTTCTGATCAATATATTTCTTCGCTATATTAGGTTGGAAATCTGGAGACTCTAAAAATCTTAAGAAAAATTCATAAACAAGCTAGGAGGAAAAAAGAAACCACAATGAGTCAAATAACATGGTATTTTATTAAATGGAGATTAAAAATACACCATGAGTTGAATCTTTGTCTGCAAATATCAGCCTTAAAAAAAGGGCACATTATCTAAAGGATTTATGTCAAATCACATGGCTTAATTATAACTTATGATGGTAATTGTTTTATTTATTAGCTAAGAACCACAGACTATATCCTTAAATGGCATTTCAACAAATGATTTCCATGGCTGCTGTCACCAATGCTCAGAGACCACAGTGCACAGCAGCCATAAGCCGGGCAGTGACCAAATTCCAGGTGGGATTTGCAGCCTGTCACCTCCAAGTGTCCCAGCAGAAAGCCAGGTGGACAGGAAGCTGGGAGTGTTAGGTGAGCAGGTCACAGACAGAGTCACCCGGGCCGGGACGTTCCTCCCCCTTCACGAATGGTTACACGTGACACCATGGGAGGGGACGTTCTGCTACCGAGATGGCCTTTCCTGTCTGTTCCCCATCGAGCTCCTTCCCAGGTTTTTCACCTCCCCGTCTCCCCTCCTTCAGCAGACCCAGACCTCCCGATCTAGCTCGGGGGCACGCGCCCTGCCCAATCAACCTTTCTCCTTAAAAACGTGTTAGAAAAAAGGCATCAGTCAAGCAGATGGGCCTCGAGGCGCACAGCAGGCACACAAACTGAGAAATGTTTGCATAAGACCTCCGACCTCAATTCCACGGTCACTTTCACTGAAAATATACTGACAATTCTGTAACTTTGTAGTTTCTGCCCAGTGTCCAAACAAACAAAAAGCCATTAAATGTTCTCTCTTTTGCTAAAATACTTCTCTCACATGTACAGGTTTGCAGGGTCTATGACACGGAAGTGCAGAGGCCCATCTGCGACCAGCTGGAGAGGCCCAGGCCCAGGGCTCCTGCTTCAGAGAACCCCCCGACCCCACGCTGACCCCCGCCCTTCTGTGTCTGATGCACTCCCAGAGACCAGTACCTGCAGGTGAGGCCAGGCTGCTTCTAACGTTGGCTCGTCTTCCTCCGGGTCAAATTCTGCTCCCGTAGGGTTGGAGGAAGGTGGTAATGTTCGAAACATGTTAACTGCAAACTAAAATCCACATATCCTATAATTATAACCAGGACATTAAAAATATTTACAGAGAACATTTAAAACAATCTTAAGGAATTCTAATGATAACAGCTCCCAGTGGTTATCTGGCTCGTCCTTATTCTCAACATTCAGAAGTGGTGTGGGTCCTGAGAGCCTGGGTCAAAGCCACAGCTAGACCCACGGCCGTGGACAGCCAGCCACCAAGGTTCCTGCCTGACCTTTCAGATAACCAGTGCCAACAGATGCTGATGGGCAGGGATGACACCTAAGGCCTTTGTTATATCCAGTAAGTGCAGAGCAAGGAGAAAAGTTCAAAGCGCTAGTAAGAAAAGGGTGAGATTACGAAAGAAACAGCAGAGATCAAAGAACTGAAAACGGTGAGAAAGTGGCAGAGGCCGCTTCACACCGGAGGTCGTGCACAGCTTCCCTGCCAAAGTCCTCTGCAGTGACAGTGATGAGAGCGGCAAGTCAAGACAGAGTAACTTCCGGGTGGGTGGCTAGAGGATCGTTTCCAGAGAAAGGGCCGCAATGTTAGCGAGGAGAGGAGTCGTCATGTCACGGGACAGCCTGGTCCGTGTGCCCAGGGCCTGGACGGGACACACAAAGAGGAGATTCCTCTGGAGTCTGGACGATTCCCTTGCACGCCTCATGGCCCTCTTCTCTGTTCTCCACCCTGTACTGTCCCCCACCTCAGGCTCCAATCAATCTCCGTTTCATAAAAATCAGCGTGTTTTATTTACAACAGATGTTTTCTACATAAAATGCACAATTCTTTGGAGCACAGGTACATTTTACTGCCTGTATGGTTAATATGAATAAAGCACAACATATATTGACAGGTTCCTGATATAAACGGAGAAGTCTAGTTTTTCACTATCACCAATTTATAACCTATGTTTCTTTCGGAATCAGTTTAAATATGTTACCTCACCGAACCTCTGAACACACCATATGCCGGTTACAGAGCTCGACTCTAGTGATCAAAAAAAGCCCTCCGTCCTTCCAAGCCCAGAAGCACAGAATCAAAACACCTGACCTACAAGATAGACTCCGACTCCACTACAACAGCGAGGGTCTCTACGGAGAGTTCAGAGCAAACCTGGCTGTTCAGATAACAGTCTCGTAAAGACCAAGCTAAAACTCCATGGCACCCGTTTTGTTTTATCCTGTCTTCCCGCAACACCATTTTCCACGAAGAAAAACACACACTCCCCAAGTCCTGGGATCTAGAAGCTCCGAGCAGCAAATGTTTGCTCTCTGCGTCGTGTGAGAGGAGCAGACGCAGACAGTCCAGGAATGGGAGCAACAAAGCATGGCTGGAACAAGTAACTAAAAGCCAGAAACAAGGAATGAAAGAAATCTTTTAATAGAAATATGAGTAATGCTCCTCTGACGTTAAGTAAAAAGAAGAGGAGGTCTGGAGCCGGTGAATGGGGTGTGTGCACAGGGCCCAGCAAGAGGCCTCCCAAACCATAGTGACCGGTGAACACAGGCTGGGACAGATGTTGTCAGGTAGAAGGGGTGCGTCCTCCATCGCTGGTCCCCAGGCCCCCCGATCCCAAAGCCCACAGAACAGAAGAAGGGGACACTGGGAGCCCAGCCACCGTCTCCTCCGGGCCTGCGGCGTGGGGATGGGGGCAGCAGAACCAGCCCTGTCACCGCCGGCTGTGGAGTGCGGAGAGGACAGGGTCAGAAAGGAGCCCAAGGTCTCTGCGGGGTGCGGCACTCCTCGGGGGGCGCAGCATTCCTGGGGGGACTTCCCAATCCTCTCCCTCAAAGCCAGTGATCGGGGGCTCCAAGAGTCACCCAGAGACCAGGGTGGGGACGGTGGATCCAGGCCGCGTCCCCGGGGGGCAGAGGTGTCTGTGGGCACCGCCGCGCTGCCTCTCTGGGAGACTTGCCCGAGTGCCCGTGACATCGTGGCACAGGGCACCTAGAGGGGAGCACAAACACGGGCCACCTCGGAGGCTGCAGGTGAGGGCCGCAGGGGTCGGGGGGAGAGAGCAGTGTCAGCTCGCCCGGGCAGGGGCTGGAGGCTGGGGCACAAGGGGGGACGGCTGCCCCTCAGGGAGGGTCTTTCGGGAAGCCCAACGCTCTCCAGAGCACAGATGCCCCCTGAGAGGGGCCGCCGCCCGGGCGGAGGCCAGGCTGCCGCAGGGCATCAGGCACAGGCGCTGCGGCCCTCGGCCCCTCCTCTCCTGCTTCAGGTCCCTCGCCGGCCAGGCTGCCCAAGGGGAAGGTGGGGACAGATGAGGTTCTGAGTCGGGGATTGAAGCGATAAACTAGGTGCTACAGCTGGAACCAGAGGGGCAGGGAAGGGAGATATAACAGATTGTGATTAAAGGCGATGGCTGAAAAAAATAAAACGTACCCGTGTGACGGCTTAGAGTACCCATTATTCAATCAGACAGCAATCTGAGTGTCACTGTGATGGCATTTAGTAATTGTGGTCACATCTAGATCAGCTGACTTTAAGTAAAGGAGAACGTGGGTGGGCCTCAACCAAACAGTTGAAAAGTCTTCTAAGAGCAAAACTGGTTTCCCTGTGGATGGCAGCGTCTGAGCCTGCCTCACCGAGTTCAGATTTGCCCCGTCTGACTCCACAAGGCATAAGACAGTTCCTCAAAAATCCACCCAACCACCCACCCATCCATCCACCCATCCAACCCTCTTTCTGTCTCTCTCTGTCTGTCTCCATCCTACCGGTTCTGTTTCTCTGGAAGGACTCTGACTGATCCACCGGGTCCGCTGAGATTCCTGAGTAACCTGCTGTAGTAAAGCTAATGATTCCAGCCTGAAGTTGAAGTCCCACTGCACAGTGTTGTCAGCCACAGCCCATCCGCAACACCTACACATTCACTGAATCCCAGGTGCTGAGTCAGGGGCCTGCAAGGGGCCATAGACCAACTTGCTTTGAATGCAAAAGTCTCCTTTTCATGTCCTGGGAGGATGACCACCCTCGAACCAGGAAGTTTTATTACTGGCCAGCTCTAACGGATAAAAAGTTATATCTTTCACACAACAACAAAAACCTCACACTGTAATTTCTACCCTCTTTTCCTACCACATTCATTTAATGCTCACCTCTAGAAAAGGCTAAAGATACTAAAAGCTAATATGTAGATTAAAGAGCAGAAGGCAAAAAGCAGGCCACCTTGAGTTGTCCATGGGTTTCTAACCCATCACCATGTCTCAGCACAGCAGCTTCAGGGGTCAAGTTAGTTGAGTGCCGTGGTGTTGACATCTGCATGCTGTCTACATGCGTGGAGTGTAGTCTGAGAGCCACAGAAGGCGATCGTTGTCAGCATCACGCCATGGAAACCAGAGGGAATCTGTTTCTACTGTAGGTCTAGAAGTCTTGGATCTGATGCAGATCACGCAGATCCATCACAAGCTCTCGGCTGAGACACAATGATTCGGAGTGCACCGTGATCCCTGGACACAGAGCTAGAATCAGCTCTCGCACAGAGAGAGGCAGTGTGGCCTCAGGGGACAGACTCACCAGGCCCTCTCCTCACTCAGACCAGGACCCGAGACCGAGAAGCCTGCTCAAGCTTTGGTTTCCTCACCTGTTGAAAGAGGGTAAATCCTTTCTTTGCACTGGGCACGTGTGAAACAGACACGTCACCACGCGGGCACGTATGTGACCCGTGCAGCCCCCGAGTGTGGTGTGGACTGACCGTGGTGGTAGGAAGCCCCTGCTTTTACAGCTTTCTTGACATTTTCTACTTTCAGTATTTAAATGATCCTGCAGATGTTCTTCTCCCAGCTGCTAAATGTATTGAATAAACGCAAACCAAAACGGCTCAAGAAGCGTTTATGCAAAATTCTCACAATTCAATAACACGCAGCCTTTCTATACCTGTAATATTCATCACCAGTGGGTGAAGTAATAAAATATTCATGCTGTGACACAACTGCAGTACAGTGGGACATATAAAGGTTTAAGACAGGAAGGGATACGCTCCAAAAAGCAACAATGATAATCTAATTTCAGAGACAACAAGGAAAGAAACGTTGATTATTCAGTTCTCTGTTTAAAACCACAAAGGTTTTCTCTTTTTGGGGGGGTGGGGGTGGGGGTGGCTGGGGCCGTGTTGGGTCTTCGTTGCTGCGCGCGGGCTTTCTCTAGTTGCGGGGAGAGGGGTCTCCTCTTCATTGCGGTGGCTCCTCTTGTTGCAGAGCACAGGCTCTAGGCGCGCAGGCTTCAGTAGTTGCAACATGAGGGTTCAGTAGTTGCGGCTCGTGGGCTCTAGAGCGCAGGCTCAGTAATCGTGGCACACGGGCTTAGCTGCTCCGCGGCATGTGGGATCTTCCCGGACCAGGGATCGAACCTGTGCCCCCTGCACTGGCAGGCAGATTCTTAACCACTGCACCACCAGGGACGCCCCAAGGGTTTTCTACTATGCTATTGATTTTGTTTTATTCATGTGATAGGGTTTATAAAGGTGAGTCCACCAAAGGCCAAATTACAGCTTTTCCTCCTGCAACAGGAATGCCAGGTTCTGAGGGTCATATTGCTAAGAGATACGTTTCGGAGGTGGGGAGGTAGGGAGCCCTTCCACATTATATTTTAAATAGAAAGCCGTCATTTGGTTGCAAATGATATAACTGGAAAAACCAACAGAGACAACAGTCAGACCATCACAGCTGGGCCACCCACACAAAAACCCCAAACCCAAACCTAACAGCAACATCTTCTCCACCAACAACAGGCAACGAGGACACATAACTGATAGGAGGACCCCAGGTACTAGGCCACAAAAATGACCAAGGGCCTAGGGACTCACAACCCAGTTACAAGGCTTCAGTGAGAGCATGAAAACCCTAAGAAAGGCACTGAAGGATACCCGAACGAATGAGGACCCTTCCCTTCTCCAGTGGGAGGTGACATTGTATCACAAAGATGTAACTTCTCCACAAAGCAATTTATACTTTAAAAGCAACCTTACATATAACTCTAACTCGTTTTTCACGTGGATGGTAAAAATCCTAGT